GCATAAACGCGCGCAGCCGGCGGCCAATGGGCGGCGGGCGGGCCGCGCATACGGGATGAGGCCGCGGGCCTGGTCATGCGGGGCCGGCGCGCGGCGGGGAGCGGCGCGCGGGCCGCAAGATGGCGACCGCCATGTACCTGGAGCACTACCTGGACAGTGAGCGCGGGGCGCGGGCGGCGGGGCCGGGAGGGGCGGCGGGGGGGCCGGGGCGGGGGCCAGGGCCGGGGCGGGGGCGGCGCGGGTGGAGTTGGGACGGGGACGGGGGCGGCGGCGGCGGCGCGGGAATTAGAACTGCGCCACGGGCGGCGCGGGGGGCGGGGCCGCCGCTAGACGTCATCAGCCGGCGCCGCGGCGCGTGCGTCATCGGCGCGCGCCGGGGAGCGGAGCCGTGAGGGGATGGCGGCTATGGGGGTTCGCCGGGCGGGGGGATCCTGTTCCTACACACACGCAGCGGGCAGGGGTCCGCTCACACCCCTCAGACACACACACACACAGCGGGCAGGGGTCCGCTCACACCCCCCAGACACACAGACACACACACGGTGGGCAGGGGGTCCGCTCACCCCACACACGGTGGGCAGGGGGTCCCGGGCCGCTGGTGCCGGGCCGGTGCCGGCCTCCGAAGGCCCGTGGTCTGGTGCACAAGCTCCGCTGAGGCGAACAGCCGGCTCACGGTACGTGACTCGCAGGTTGGTTTGGGTTGGGAGAGACCTTAAAGTCCCTCGCATTCCAACTCCCTGCCACGGGCAGCGACACCTTCCGCTAGACCAGGTCGATCCGAGGATTTATTGGTATTTTTAATTGCAGGTATTGAAAACCTGCCGTGCGAGCTGCAGAGGAACTTCCAGCTGATGCGGGAGCTGGACCAGAGAACAGAAGGTGTGTTCAGGTATTTTGGCAAGTGAAGGCACAGAGAGTCTCACCTGAAGAATGGGAAGAGCCCAGGGGAGACTGGACTTTAGGGGATGTGTCTCCCCTTATTGCTTTTCCTTTTCTCATCCCGAGGGCTCTGCAGTGTTTGTTTCTTCTCTGTGAGGGCTGCAGCTCCCAGGGCTTGGTTTTGTGTTCAGCCCTGGAGTTTCACTTTGTAGCTGTGTGATCACTGTACCTGATGACCCCTTGGAGGGTCTTCCTTGCACACATTTCCATATCTACCAAGTCCCAGGTTGCTGTGTGCCTTGCAGGACCATTTTCTTTTTCCTTTTTGAAATTTTTGTTCATATTTGGCTGCACAGTAAAGACTTTCAGTTTGAACCACTAGAACAGTAAGTAACTGTGCAGCAAACAGAATATTCTGCATGTGGGAGGAGAGGGTGAAGCTTGTGAAGCCGTGGGTTTGGTTTCTGATCTTAACTCTGAGTTAACCCTTGAAGTAGCTTTAAAACACTTGAAAAAAGCAGAATCACACCACAAGTGTTGAAGAGCGAATACCTTTGACTTAATTTTTTTTTAAATTGTTTTTAGAAAGGAAAATACGTTGAGGAATTGAGGGGAGTCTAAAAACTTTCAGGAAGGGTCTCCTAAATACCTTAGAGAAGCAGAAGAGCCAAAATACCTGCTTTGGAAGACAAGTCTCTCCTTTGCCTTTCAGATAAGAAAGCAGAGATCGACAGCCTGGCGGCAGAGTACATCGAGTCAGTGAAGAACATGTTGCCTGAGGAGCGAGTGGAGCACCTGAAGAAGATCCAGAGTGCCTACAGCAAGTGCAAGGAGTACAGTGATGACAAAGTGCAGCTGGCCATGCAGACCTATGAGATGGTGAGGCTCTGGAAAAACGGGCACGCTCTGGAGTGGGTGGTGCACGTGGAGGCGCTTCCACCGCATCAGCTTCTCCTGACATCTCTTACTGAAACAAATTATTGGTTCTCAAGCTTAGTTTCCTCACTGTTGCCAGTCCCAAAAAGCCTCCTCCTGTGTCACTGGGTTTTGTGCCAAGAAGGCTTCTCTTGTGCTGAAGAATTAATGAGTTTTATCTCCCTTGGAAGTTGCTCTGTCAGTAGCACCCGTCTGCTGTGTGATAATGCCAGAGAATTTTTCCCACTCCCTCCTCTCCAGCAGCTCCTCTGTCACCTGATAATTTATTTGGGGCTGGTCTTGGTTGCAAACAAGGTTTTTTAAGTCAACTGCAGTACTTTATTGTGGAGGAATGAAGGAGATCTGCTCCATTGCCTTGGTTTATTGAACATCAAAATTTCCTCGATGAACCTTATGGGAAAATCCTGTTTCTTAAGATGTAGCCTTCCACTTTTTTATTCTTCTGCTCCTACTCCTGTGACCCTGTAGCTTCCCCTTGATAACCCTTATCTCTTTGTGTTTTACCCCCTGGATAAAACTTGAGGGAATCCTTCTGAGTGTACCAAGTGTGTGTTGTCCAGCATGTGGAGATGCTTTGGGTTGTGCTGCATCTACAGATGTTTTCTTGCCCTCAAACACTTCAGAGAAGGAAATTGTCACAGGAATATCAGTGGCCTAGATAACTGGCCAACTAATTTGATGACAGAGTGTTGCAGTGGCACAATTTGGGGGTGGTGGCTTAAAATACCTTTGCTACCTCCCTGTTGTGTAAGTCACATTGTTGCAGCCAGGGGAGTACAAGGTACTTTAATTGATGTGCATTGATTTGATAATGGGGATAGTCAGCTTCTGCTTGTGTTTATTACTATATTTCTTTAATTAGCATGACAGTGTAGTACCAGGGGAAAAAAATGAACTTATCCACTCGATGCATTTCAAGGACAATATTTGAATTTTGAAAATTGTAGGGGCTAACAAGTTGTTTTTAGTACTTCTCATCGTGTTTTGTTCTGCAAACAATTAGCCTGAGTTCCTTTAACTCTCCCTTATGTCACCTCCCTCTCTCTTTGCCCTGGAGGGATTGGGTCCTCTTGCTTTTTGACTTCATTTTCTCTCCGCCTTCCTTCGCTCCGTGTGTGCCTTTTCCCAACCTGTACCCCTTCCCCGCCTTGCCCTGTGCTCCCCCACTCTGTTGGTGGCGATAACAGCCAAGTTCTAGCCCTTCCTGTTTTCCTGTGGGGCTCTTTTTGGGGTTTGCAGCTGAGTTTGTGGTCTCCTCTGGGCGCAGGTGGATAAGCACATCCGCCGGCTGGACGCGGACCTGGCGCGCTTTGAGGCCGATCTCAAAGATAAACTGGAAGGCAGCGACTTTGAACCCCCTGCATCTCGGAGCCTGAAAAGTGGGTACATTTTATGCAGCTGAGAGCCTTTGCCAGCACTGCAGGAAGGCTGAGATGTAAAACAGGCCCTTGTTTCTGGAAGAGGGAAAGAAGTGCACCGTAGTTGCTCTGCTTGGCTTTAATGCTCTTCAGAATATTTACACTGGGCAATAGATAAAGAGAAACGTAGTGCTGGGATCAAAGTTGGGGTTTCACAGATCACCCTGAGGTTGTAAGGAGGGAGCTGGCCAAGGGGCAACTGACTGTGCCAAACCTGCACTGATGTGTGTAAAGGTGTGAGTTTCAAGCTTGATCTGTTACTGAGTAAGTTCTGTGCTCTTTTTGAAGGGAGATTTGCCTATTTTCCTCCTTTTACCAGAATCTGAATACTAATCAAGCTGAAAAAAAGCAGGAAAAATTAGCAGGTAAAGGAAGATACCAATTTTTGTAGTGTAGACCGAAATCTTGTGTGATTACAGTGACATTTGAGTGTGAATAACAGCAGCACAGCACAGTTTTATGCCTCTCAACTGTGAAATAAGGGGTAAGAGCAGGGAGGTGGAGATAAAAGTTACTTTAGTTACTGAGTAACCTATTAACTGTTTAAAAATGCGCTGAGATTTAAAAAACATACTGCCAGTCTAATCAAATGTGATGCTGTTTATATCTTGTGCTAACACACTGCAGTGCTTTAATTGCCAAAAGAGTTTGGGGCTCAGTTGTACTTGCTAATTTGGTTCATTTGTGGGATAAAAATGAATTTCAGAGTCAGCATATTCAATTACAGATGAAATAAGGATTGTTCAATTGCGTTTGAAATGAGAATTTCAAGACAATAACTGCATCAAAAGAATGACACCCTGGGATGTTTCTGCCACTCAAATAGTTTGAAAAGATGGGGGCTGTTTTTCCTTTCTAGAGGGACGAAGTCAGAAAGACAAAAGGAGCTCTCGTGGCCGAGGCAGGAGAACATCTGAAGAAGATACACCAAAGAAAAAGAAGCTCAAAGGAGGGTAAGGCAGAGCCAGGCACAGCTCTGGGGACTTGTGCTTGACACTTCATGAATTTTCCACGAGGTCGTGTTACCCTATTTATGACTCGTGTCCGGATGGTTAGAGTGTTCTGGTCTTACACCATTTCATTAGTGTCCTGCTTGGGACAGGCCAGCTTTGTTAATTAACTCCTTGGTTGGCATGTGGAAGCTCAGCATGCTTGGAACACTCTGACTGGAAGGACAAGATCAACCCCTCTGTTGCTGTTGGCAAGCTGAGAGAAAATAGCTTTGATTTTTTGTCACGTGGCTATTTTTAACAGTGGCTTGTCTGGGTGGTAAAAAGAAACACTTGTCCATCAGGACAGAAACTGATGTTGTATTGTTGTTCTAGAAATCTTGGAGAATTTAGGGGAGTGTTTTCAAAGGATCGTGTCCTGCATATCCTTGAATAATCTGATTCAGTTTTGGGAAGCAAGGAGGAAGGCATGTCCCTTCTCTGTGATGTGATTTGTATTAAAGGGGCTTTGTTTATTCTGATACTTTCAATTGGTTAAATGGTGGGGCAGACAACTAAAAATAGTTTCTGTGAACTGCTACTGACATGTCAGCACATTCCTGGCAGAGCAAGAGGGTTCACTCATATCTGACAATGAGAAAATAATGTCTATTAAAACAGACTGGGGAGGAAAAACCCAAACAGGTTATTCTGCCCACAGACAGGAGTGATCTGTATGATAATTTTGTTACTTTAGTCACGGCATCTACAAGTAATTTTCTTAATCCTTTATAGTCATATTGTGTTTGATCAACCTATTTTATTATTTTAATTATTGGATAATATGTGATAATATAATTTAAACTCTAAAGTAGGGTGAGTGTGGTTTAAGGAAGATAATTGTAAAATACTAAT